TATTAATATTATTGTATATTTGCCAACATATATATATATATATATATCAGGTTATATAATTACTCATTAATTATTTGCAAGATTATATAAATGCATAGAATGTAATGGCAAGTTATTTTCGAGTATAGGATTTGCTTTCAGATCGTTCGTAAATAATTAAGAAATTCGCGGAAAAATGCTGCCAATTATACCATCCTGATAAACAGAAGAAGGAACGATGGTGTAATGTCTCACCTGACAGGGAAACGTTCCACCTCGAGTAGGGCTCATTGGATGCGAGCGAACAAACAAACGAAGGTATAGTTGCGACTGTTCCTAGCCGGTCGGGGGGCTTTCGAATGCCGAGCACGTGCCTTTGTTACGAGATAATACCACTTCCGAATTTATACCTAAACTCCTAGCGCCGGGGACTTGAAATTCGCGTTCCTAATTAACGAGCCGAACAGGTCGTAGCGCCCGGGAAATAAACAATGGTAAACGTTGACATTAAAAGAGCGTCGCCACGCTGGCCCGTCGCGCGCTGCGGGACCCCGTTGGAATACAAAAATAACGCCGAAACGGAACGCCGCGGAGAGCTGTCCCGGGAAAACGCGTCCGCCGATTCCGATGGAGATTTATTTAAATTGAAAACGGGAAATAGAAACGGAAATATAGGGAACCTCCGGAAAATAATCCAGCCGGACTTCCAACAATGTTTCACCGTCTATTAACTACTTGATTTTCGAGCTCCCCCTTCCCCGGAGCCTGCTCGTTAACGATCACGGATTTTGGATACTTCAATATTCAAACTATAGTGCTACGATATTAATTCTTGAATTAATAAATAAGATTCTCTGAGATGATGGAAGATCAAAGAATAACTGTATGATTTAATTTATTCGAATATCGTCATTCGAAAATAAAAACAATATCGATTTTCCATTCACAAAATAATAATCCGCATAATAATGATGAACAGAAAAAATTTTATTTTATATCTTCGCAACAACTTGTTGTTGAAGTGAAAAAAGGTGTCATCCAGCCCCTAACATTAGATTTCATTTTATAATTATTTCAAATAACTATAAAATAAAATAACATGTTATTTGAAGTAATATTTGAAATAATGCTATTTCGGAAGGGATCACAGGCATGAAAATAATTAGGAAATAAAATATCATGTCGTTTGAAATGATATTTCAAATAATGTCATTTCAAGTGTGACCAAGTTTTGTACAGTTTAAGAATCGGATATCTTATTGAGAAAGTATAATTTCTGTGGTTGAAAAATCAATAAAACGAGTGTTAGGAAAAGTTGGTGGGATTTTCCTTTTATTTTGGACAGGGAGAATTGTTTAGTCAATTTTTACCTTACACTAATTTTTCTGAAATGTTCGGTGTCGATCGAAGTCTGTACGATCTTCGCAGAACTGCCATAAGATTGCAACGAAGGAAGGAGGGCCAGAGAAGTTGGATTTGTCTTGAAATGTAACTCTTTTCTTCTCACCTACTTCTTCCGTTTTATCAGCCTCTCCATCTGCCTCTACTTTATTGCCCTCTTCATTCACCCCTTCTTTATTACCCTCTTCTTCTAGCCGTTCTTTATCACCCTCTACTTCTACTCCTTTTAACTCTTTATCACAATCTCCATCTCTCCATCTATATCCATCACCCATTCTTTCGTCCCAACGTTTTTTCGCTTTCACGTTCCATGAAATTCATAAATATTGTACTCCCGCGTCGGTCGATTCAAAAAGTTAAATAATCGGTTCTTGACATTGTTTTATCCCGTTCGAGAATCATATGAAATCGATGCAAATATCTTCGTACAGGAAATGAAACGTTGACTTAAACAGACGAGCGAAAGTACATTCGAGTACATTTTTTCCAATAATTGTTGGTTATCGTGATTAAAAATCCAAATTTGTTATCTGTCCGTTTTTCATCATTCCTTGTTTATTCTGGGACCAGCAGCAGCCAGAGTTGTGCAAATCACAAACCTTTCTGGCGGTTCTATTTCGCTGCGAGCAAATATCGCTTGCACGAAGCATACATCCTCTAAAGATTAATAAACGATAATGCTGCTCACTATTGCTCAAATATTGCTGAACACAACCGAGAAATTTTTCATCGATATGTTTGTTGGTACCGTGTTAAAAAAGAAATACTACGATGACTATCTCTGAAATGCTGACTCGCCAAATTGCTGCGGCACAAAATGACAAAAATTACAATATGCAGATGAAATGATAAAACTGGGGGGGTGTGGATGTCGGTGAAGACATCGCGGAAAATTGATACGGCGACGTAAAAGGGACGGTGGCGACTGTATTCATCTATCCGGTCGGTGACAAAAGCTCAAAGGGTGGGAATATTGAGATAGCTCATGGTAATTCGAATGCTGATTGAAATAAAAGGTCACCGGGAACCGGGACAAAACGAATCCCCGCGGTATATATGACGTATGGTGGTTAATGGAAGCTAGCAGGATGGCGACCGGAAAAAGGAGGGTACGAGAGACGTACCGCACGGAAAGGAGGGAGGAAAAGGGAGAAAGAGAGAGAGAGAGAGAGAGAGAGAGAGGAAGGCGGAACGGCGTGCAAGGAGGGACGGTGAAGGGACGGAAGAGAAGACTCGATTACACGTCACTGGCAGCCCAGGGCCTATTGGGTCGCAATCGGTTTTTCATTACCGAAAGCTTCATCGGCTTTATACCGAATTGTACATTCGCCGGACCCTCGTGAAACTCATCAAGATCGTACGTCCTTTCGGAACAACGATCCGCGACCTTCTGGTCACCGTTTCTGGCCATTGTTTCACTTTAATGGAACTGGGAATGGTGTGCATGAAATATGAGAACCGGACCGGTTCCTTCGGGGGAAAGAAAATTGAAGGATGAACAGAAGCTGCGGGGTCAGTCCTGTTCTCCAGGGAAATAGCTTGACAGTGAGCGCTGGACCATGTTTATTAATGACTGTCAATCCGCTAGAGGTATTAAAATATTAGAGATATGTCTAAGGCGATTTTTGATACTTACTTTAACCCTAGAAAGATAACCATATGACAACGTACGTAAAAGATAACCATACGCTTCAGAGACGCATGCTTTTCTAAGGCGTCAATTTTATACTAACAATGGATATTTATTTAAGTTAATCTAGTCATTTTAAAGGTTTGGCATTATTGTAAAAATAAAATGCATTTATATTATATTTTTTTATATTTTAAGTAATTTTAAACTTAAATCACTAGACCTCTATGAAAAATTAACAAAAATCAACAGTCTTCGGTTTATGGGAACAAATCCCGTAAAATATCACAAAAAATAGTGTTTTATCCTTACAAACTAGTAGACTATAATATAATCAGTGTAAAAAAAACTATAATATTATAAAAAATTTCTTTAGAGACAGTCATGACAAACGTCTTTCTTGTGTTCACCACAAACTGTCTTTTTGCATTTGGCACAGGTCATCTTTGACATTCTTTTCTTTTTAGACGTGCAAAGACTGCAATAACGCCTTTTTTGGCTGAGGGTTCTTCTTCATCATCTGTGGAAGCCTGTACAGCAGATTTTGGAAGAATATTTTCAATGTTGCTTCGCACATGCCTTGGCAAAGTGGGTGCTTCCAGTCTTTGCGTCATCCACGGTGCAGTCAGTTGTTTATTTCGCAGGCGCCTCTGCGACGTAGGTTATCTTTCTCGGGTTAAGCAGCTGAGCAAGTAGAACCGGATCATTCAGTAGAATAGGGTGGAGATAGACGAGTAGAATAACACTAACTAGTTCAGACAAGTAAAATACATGGAACAGGCAGTAGAATAGGATACGGAATAGTCGGACAAGTAACATAGTAAAGTAATATACCTAATAATCAGACAAGTCAGCTGTGGTCATGCTAGTGGAGTTTGATAGCTTTTAGCTAAGCAAATAGAATGAGAAAGGTAATTCTGCTTTTAATAATTGCTTAAAAATAAAAAATTAACAGTTGGAATTCCTTGATAAATTTTCTAATTGCGATAACAGTTTTAATAACTTATTTTAGGATTGTTAGTTACAAGAAACTTATTAATCTGTTTCCGGGTATAACTCCGTTATTAATACATAGTTTTGTAAAAAATGGAAATTTGTGAATACTACCTTCATCTGAATTAGTGTTCGGATCGATACCGATATCTCATTTATGGTATTCAATCGATTCTATATGAAAGTATTCAATAGGAAATATTGGTACCTCTTTGATATCTTACAAAAGTATCGATATCTGTTTGATATCGATATTTAGTATCTTTACCGAAGTATCGATACCCGTTTGAGACTTCTATGAGAATTTCAATACCCGTTTCACATCTTTCGAGATGTTCAATATCTATTTGACATTTCATTAAAATATCTATACTTATTTGATATTAAAAGTTATTTTCAAATAAAAGCTTAGTTAAGCAGTTCTAATTCGATAAAAATTATAATTTGCATTATTTTTTTGTATAGTTTAAAGATGAAAAAAAATGAGAATTTTAGTTTAATAATATTATTATTATTATTATATATTATTATTATTAGTATTATTATTATTAGTATTATTAGTATTATTATTATTATTATTTCAATAATTTTTAATATCAGAGAAATATAAATGTTTCAGTGAATTTTCAAATCGATATTGAACATTTCGAAAAAGATATAAAACGAATATTGAAATTCTCATTGATTGCCACAAACGAATATCGATACCTTTATAAGGTACGAAACAGGTATCGATACTTTTGACACCTACATCTTTGATAGTATTCGTTTTGGTATCAGAACTTGCGGGCTGATATCGACAAGTATCGATTTAGTATCGATCCGATCACTACCCTCAATACACTCTATATCCTATTCTAGCTTTCTATTCTCATAACAGATTTATTAAAAAAAACGGTACAAGTGACGGCATCCTTCAACAATATCGTGAAACTGATGGGCGATGTCAGTGTTCACGATAAGTGCCATAGATGTCGCAGTATGTGTTTACATGACAATTGTTTGTGCGCGAGAAAATACGATATAGTAATCAGAATCAGTTGCTTGTTTATTTTTACGAACTCCAGATGTACAGAAATAAATTTGTGTGAATAATATTTGCAACAGTGGGGATTTGGTCGCGAATCAATGTAAATTTTATCGTGCATTGGACAGAATGATTACTAGTATATGTATATTAAACAATATGTGCGTACAATGTTGTGGTTAACTACGTTTTGAATAGTTTACATACAAAACAGAGTGATATTTCTTTAAAGATAACGACAAACATCACAGAAATATGTCGTCCTCGCCAGAAAATGCGATCAAGAAGCCTATTAGGCGTCTAGAGATTCAAATTAATAATTTTAATGTAGCTATACCGCATCATGTTGATTTATTAAAACGTCACAAGGTTAACATACTAAAGGTAAGTTATTTTATATGTGTTTATGCAATTGCTTTGTTTTTCAGAACTTTTCTTATCGTATCTCTTTGTCTTTGCAGTATCAAGCGCAACACGAATGGGTGAAAATGAATAAAGAACAGATAAACGTATCTAGGTTGGTGAAGCAATTGAAAGAATTACTGTACCAGATGGACACTTTAAGATCGCAGGTTTTGGACTCGGATATCGAACAGTTCGATAAGTTGATCGGCAATGCTCGCAAGAGTCTCATGAATGCTATAGAAGAATATTTAGGTATCTGAGCACACGTAGTATAAATTTTATGTTCATGGTCTATGTGTCATATCTGGAAATAATAATGTGTATACGTTTATAGAGCTGCAATTGAGCTTACCACTATCACCACCGGAATCACCCAAAGGCGAAGATCAGGAGAAAGACCACCGACTTAATGATCGCTATGTCCAGTTGCATGAACAGCAACAAGAGTTGGAACATCAACAGGCATGTCTGCATACTTGGAACAATCTGCATGAAGACATAAACCAGCTGCATGACTTGTTTATTGATTTCAACAAGATTGTGGATGTAAGTTTTATAATTGTTTTGAAACCTTATTTAATTTTACATATTGAGAGTCTAAATTTAATCTAATTTTCGGATGTTTTTCATTTTTGAAAAATGGAACTATGTATTTTTATTAGTATTAAATAATAGCCAAGATCAAGATGAATACAATAATTTATAAAACGCATAATAACCTTCATGTTATTAACTCGGACAAATTTTTAGATAATGATGCGCATTTTGTGTTTAGGATCAAAGAGCGTTAGTGAACACAGCGGAGAGTGACATTGAAGAGACGCAGGTAAATGTGGAAGCAGGTGAACAGTCACTAGCGAGAGCTTCGAGATACAAACATGCGATGTACCCCTTAGCAGGAGCCTTAATTGGTACTTGTATCGGAGGACCAGTTGGTTTAGTAGCAGGATTGAAGATTGGTGGACTGACTGCGATAAGTTGTGGCCTGTTAGGTAAGTATACTAATGAGTCTTGTATTTAACGAATCATGGGGAACATGGTTAACATCATGAATATCTTGTTCCATTCCTGATGATTCAATCAATGGAATACAATTTTCTATTTATAATCTGTAATCTCATATATACAGGATATACGGGGGCCACAATATTAAAGAAAAAGAAGTTACAAATACAAAAATCGCAGAGTACAACAGATCAAACCATGACAGAGCAGGTGAAAATGACACAGAGATCTTCATCCTTGTTGGAGAATTTAAAAGAGACTAAAAAAGATTTGTGACCCATTGAGAATGATGATATTAGGCCTAAAAAACACAATGCTTGCTATATCGTTTAATCATATAGGACTGATTTAATGTGATATAAAATATCTACTCAGAAGTTGCTTCTTTAATAGAATGTAAATAAAATGGGAAGGCATGGAAAATATGCTGTTGACATTTATACTGCATGTTGTCTTCAAAATGGCTTGTGACCAATTCTATTGGGCAGTGTACTGCACTTTCAAATTTTACGAATAATAAAAGGCACCGAATAATGCTGCCTACATCACAATACTTATAATTTGTCAGACGTGCGACATTTTCTTCGATATGACATTTTATAAGCACCAACACGTGCATGGGATTGTTTGAATTAGCTTATAATTAGGTTAGCCCCAAATGTTTAATATTAGATTGCACCAAATATTTATATAATGTTGTTTGTATATTTCTATTGATAAAATGTACTTATGGAACAAGGTGACTTGTAAACTGGAGACTTAAAATTGTTCACAAATAAATAATAACAAATTAAAGCTACAGCTTTATAAACAACCACTACGAACTACACTGGCACAATACAGAAATTGTAGAATTACAAAAATCTCGATTCGCAGAGTATCGAATGATTTTCAAAAAATGTTCCGCGAATTTCATTCTATGTAATTGATTACAATAAAAATTGTTGTAAAGCAAGGATTTTCAAGATTACATGTTCAAAAGGTTTGGACTTAAAAATTCATTTTTCTCTTCTATATTACAATATATATTACACTATAATTATATATTTATTGTTTCCTACTCTTTAATGAGAAAATAAAGTATATAGAATACTCGATTCCTGCTAATAGATTAACCTGTAGGACAAATAAAGTATAGAGAACACTCGAATCTTATTAACTAAAATATACAGGATACTCCATTCTTGCTAATACCTCTACATTCGTCTGATAATGTATGCAATATCATTATTATATTATAATTAATATTATTATGTTAGAAACCTAGCATAGGATAGAGGTAGCATTCAATTTATTTATTTATTATTTTCGTGCACTAGACAATTGTCATTTCGGCACATACTACGACGTCTATGACAATTGTGATCATCGACGTCTCATATCAGGTTTCACGATATTGTGTAAAGATGTCGCTATTTGTACTTAATAAATCTGCACGCAAGACAATATTTAAAAATCTAGAATATGATATAGACAGTGTCGCGGTAGAGAGCATTCACAAATATACATTCGTGTTCAAAATTGATGTATGAATAATAAATCTATCAATAGGCTTTTAAATAAATATGTTATTACCAGAAGGAGACTGTGTTAATTCTTTTTGTTACAATTTTAAAGGAAATTAAAATTGTATAAAATTTAGTAGTACTTTTCTCGAAGACTGATGGTGATTTTAGAATATTTAATAAGTCAATTCTAAAGACTTCATTAAAAAATTTGTTGCATTATTTAGAAGCTTCTGGGTCACGCTCTTTCATTCGTATCTTTGAGAGTAATTAATCGTTTCTTGCGCTGTCTTTTTTAAATGTGCAACATTGCATTTAGCGTCGCCTAATGTATATGCAAAAAATTGAAAACGAAGATTTAACATCTTCGAAAGTATATTCATAAAGATGATCGAGTCTCTTTACGATATGTTGCACTTTCCTCTTTTAAAAAGATAATTAACACAACATATGAGCCGTTTATTTTGAAAGTGGCATAAGTCACTTCACCGTAATGAAAAGTGGTGATTTTTTAATGTTTATGCGAAATTATTTATACTGAGAAAAATATCAGTATCCTGAGATAACAAATACAAGTAAATCTTCTCGAAAGTTAGCATCCATATTTTTAAACATGTTAAAACGCAAACCCTTAAATATATCGATTTAAAAACAAAGTGACTTATGCCACATTCAAAATAAACGGCTCATATGTACTGGTTCAATGTCTCCGATAGAGAAAATATTATTTTCATATTAGTTAAGCGATTTTCGGAATCTCCACCATTTCCGCATTACAAGGCAAAGTTTCCTGTGGCAAATAAAAATTGTTCGCGAAATATAGTACAATTTCAAGGCAAGGAAACGGGAGTGACAAAGTTAGAGGTCGAGGTTCGCTACAAAAGGCACCCAATACAGTATATTTAGCAAGTAATAAAATACATCGGTGTTAGACACAGTACAATACTGAAATAATCATGTTATCAATGTAAATATATGTGTATTTATATACATTTCGTTAGAATGATGCGGATACTTATCGTCTACGGACTAAAATGATCTACTTAAAAAAATATTAATAAATATCTACGAGCGTGTAACGTTTAAGTGACTATCGGTGTATCTTAAGGTACCGGGTGTTATTATCGTCATTGAGAAAGACATCCCTGGTTCGCGAAGCGGTACCAATTTGTGATCAGTGATCACTGATTACCAAAAAGTGAAATCCGCTCGTAAAATAGAAATGTTCCTCTTTACTTTCGTTCCCTGTTTGGTCTCGCTTCCGAAGGAACGGGATGCCCAGCCGGATGCACCGATTTCATTTATGGCATGATTCCGATTTCCGTCGATCTCGTTCGAAAACAATCTTTTCGACTCGTTAAAACACGATCCACCGGATTCCATAGAGAAAAAAAAAAGAGTAGAAAATACATAACTAAATCACGACTCGTCGAGAGAACAAAAGACATAGATACAGAGAAGGAGAAACAGAGATAAAGAGAGAGAGAGAGAGAGAGGGAGAGA